GAGAATCCTGGAAACTCCACCTTCTGATAACTGGACCCTAAACCAGCCCAGAATTTGGCCCCAGCCTGCCTTTCCACCATCAGCTGTAAGACGATTGAAAGAAAACACCATCCCATATCACTAGGACAGCTACAGTCCCACAGCTTCTAAAGACAAGTATATTGCATCCTGCTTCAGAAAAAAAAAAAAAAAAAGTGTTTGGTTTTTTCACAGCTTTTAAAGCCTCCTTGGGCTTTCCTATTTTGGGCAGCATGGTTTATGGCTATTGTATTTGCAGCATGATCTTTTTGTTGCTTATTCTTTAAGGCTTTTTTTCCCTCCCCTCAGAGACAGGTTTGATGTCCGTCTCCCTACTCTACACTCAACAACGCTTCCACTGCAGTGCTTATACACCACCAGTCCTTCACGTGAGAACAGTCGGAGAGCATTGGGGTGCCGTCGTACTCTCATACCACAGTCTCGTTCCCTTTCCCGGGTTTCACCCAACCATCTGCTCTCTTCTCTCGTTTCACTTTCCCTGAGTTCACCAGTCTGTTCGAGCACTTCTGCCACGTGTGCAGAGTTTTGGCTGACCAAATCCACATACCTGATGTAATTCCCACCAGGAGGGACATGAAGATCTTGAGCATTTCCACAGCCATATTGGAATCGTCTGCTGAATAGCGGAAAACGGCCCAGTTGGAGATTTCGTAAAAATAACACGCAATGACACACGTCGCTGGGACGGTGTACAACACTGAAAATACACCAATTTTGACCATCAGCCTTTCCAATTTGTCAGTTTTAGTTCCATCTTTCTGAAGGTTGGACCGGATTTTAAATAAGGCCACTAATCCGGCTGCAATGAATAAAGTTCCAATAACCAGGTAGGTAAAAAGTGGTGCAACAACAAAGCCCGTGAGCGCATCTAGGTTCTGGTTGCCAACGTAACACAGTCCAGTGAGCTCATCTGCATCTACTAGTCTCATAATCAAAATGACTATGGTCTTCACTGCAGGGATGGCCCAGGCTGCAATATGGAAATAGGAGCTGTGCATTTCTATAGCTTCGTGGCCCCACTTGAGTCCTGCTGCCAGAAACCACGTCAATGTGAGAATAACCCACCAGATGGAGCTAGCCATCCCAAAAAAATACATCAGCAAGAAAATTATAGCACATCCTGTGTTCTTAAGACCTTCTTGGATAAGAACAGGTTCTGCTGCCTCTTCAAAATCACAGGATATCCTTTCCCGGCCCACAGTTAGCCTCACAATATAAGCAATGCTATAAATATTGTAGCACATGCTCAAAAATATGATTGGGCGCTCCGGGTAGGAAAATCTGGATGAATCAATCAGGAAGGTCAGGACTGTGAATGCTGTTGATATGAAGCAAAGACTAGCCCACACGGCCATCCAGATATCTGTGAATTCCTTAGCCGACCTGCTGTAGAGCCCAGCATCGTAGCCACACTTCAGGACACAGTTCAAGCTTCTTTTGACCCAGATGTACTGATCTGAATTAGATCCCATGCTGTGGCATTCTTCTCCAGGCTGCAAGGACGTCTTGCTATGAAGGGGAACCTCTTCGTCCCCTGGGCCCTCCATGCACATGTGGTTGTGATCATTCTGGGGTGGGAATTTGCTGCAGTTCAGGCTGTCTGGCCAGGCAAATCCAAATTCTTTTAAAACAGGTTCACATCTCCTTTTGACAGAGAGGCACATACCACCGCAGGGCCCAATAGGGATGTTAATCTTCTCGGTGCACATAGGAACATAGACTGAACAAAGGAAGAACTGGAAGAGAAAAAACAAAAATCACAATTGTGTTAGAAGAAAATTAAGCAGGTCGTCCTATAACAAGTTCTCTTTTCGTCTTTTTAGCAGTAATATTTGGTCCTTTGCCTTCAAAAACAGGAAACAGCATAAAACAAATAGACCAAGAACAATAAAAACAAAGGAGAAAAAGCCCTAAAAATGTTGTCTTCTTTTAGTTCAGAAATGGTCCGAAACCAAAGCCTGAACATTTTACGCCCTAGATTAGCTCCATGTAAATTTAGTCCATCAATTTCAATAAAGTGAGTAGGATTTAGCCAAATCTAAACCTCAGGGGTGCAATTTAGGAAAGCAACAAAAAAAAAAACAAAAAAAAGTGGTTTAAACAAATACATATATTTGTTCAAGGCACTGCCTGGATCTTACAGCTAACAAACACACAGAAGAAAAGGCATTTATTGAATTGCTCTGGTTCAAGATTCTCCTAGAAGAATGCGTTTTCTTTTATTATAAGGTCAAGTATGTATTTATAACAACAATAAAATGCTGCAGTTTGCTCAGGCTTTTGAATAATTGTATTTCTGGGACATGACAACGTAAGGGGGATTGTGAGCTAATCTGGCAATTCTGCCCCAAGACAGAAAGAAGCAGCTTTTTTTTTT